CACACCTCACGGTCAGGGCCCAGATCCCCTCACACCTCAGAGTCAGGGCCCAGATCCCCCCACACCTCACAGTCAGGGCCCAGATCCCCACACCTCACAGTCAGGGCCCAGATCCCCCCACACCTCACAGTCAGGGCCCAGGAATCAGGGCCTGGAGCTCCCATCCTACCTCATCGCTGGTTTCTGATCTGACCTCAGGCAACTCCCTGCCTCAGTTTCCCCATCTATGTAACTGCTTCCCCACATCCCTTCTAGCTCAACCCTCTACTCTCTATACCAAGGTGCTGGTCCCACACCACTGTCCTTCCCTCCAGGATCTTACTAACTGCCCCCCTCAGCCCAGTCCTAGGTGTTCCTGGGGTCAGGAGTCTCAGGGAACCCCTGAGGAATTCATCGTCCAGGCTCTGGAGAGTCTATCTCTGGAGTTGTTACTCTTTTTTCATTGCTATGACAAAAAACTCAGTGTGAGGAAAGAAAGGTATGTTTGGTGTGGAGGTATAGTCCAACATGGCGGGAAGGCATGGAGGTTGGCATGCAGGGCAGCTGGTCACATGACCCACCGTCAGGAAGCAGAGAGATGAATGCCAATGCTCACTTTCTCCTGTTTATTCCGTCTGGGACCCCAGCTCCCAGAATGGTCCTGCCTGCCTCCCAGTTAACACCCTCTTGTTGGGCGTGGTGGCACACACCTTTAACCCCAGCACTTGGGAGGCAGAGGCAGGCGGATCTCTTAGAGTTCGAGGCCAGCCTGGTCTATAGAGTGAGTTCCAGGACAGGCCCCAAAGCTACAGAGAAACCCTGTCTGGAAAAAACAAAACAAACAAAAACTCCCCTCCCTCAGATATGCCTAGGGTCCTCTAGCTTCTGTCAAGCTGATGCTATTAACCATCATAGCCCTCAAGTGACTCAGAGGACCCCACCCTAGACAGTGCTTGAAGCAGCCAGGATTCCTTTCTGTGCTGTGTTCTGAGGAACTGTAGCTCCCGAGTGAGACCAGAGAGGCAGCACACTTTATCCGGATCAGCAATGCCAGCTTCCACTGGTGGTGAGCTCCCAAGAGGGTGGAAAACCCTAGGGTAACTCCACAAGCTAGGGCCAACCAAGCGCAGGGCTAGGGAGAGGTCGGCAGCCTCCAGAGAGCTTGTCCAGCAGCATGGCTGGATCTGGTTTCCTAACCCATGTCCTCCTAAGGTTGGTGAGGCACTCCGGCAGCTGGAGAAACAAGAGTGTGACCCAGGAAAGGACTTTCCAGTCATAGGGAGGGGAGGGAAGGCTGCTCCGGGAGGGTGCTCACAGCCAGAGGTCTGAGAGGGAGGGGAGATAACCCAGCTTCTGTGTGTAGGGGATGGAAGATGGAGGGTGCCCCCCCCTGGGAGGGCGGCTTGAAGGAGTGGGATGAGCGAGTGGATCTGAGAGGAGACGGAGGCCCAGGAGTCCTTCATTCAGGTCCAGCCAGCCAGGTCACCCAGAGTCCTCCAACGCCCTGCTCCATGGCTCCCCACCGCCTGGTGTCCTTTCCTGCCCGGGCCATTTTCCCACCAGTTCCTGTGACTTCCGGGAGGAAGATCCCCCCCCCCCTTTCTCCTTTTCCTCACCTCTGCCTCTCTTCCTTTCTTAGTTTTCTATGACTGTGGTAAACACTGTGACCAGATGCAACTTGGGGAGGAGAGGGTCTATCTCTTGTTACAGCTTCTAGTCCATCATGAAGATGCTCAAGGCAGGAACCTGGAGGCAGGAACTGAAGAGGCCATGGAGGGGTGCTGCTTACTGGTCTGCTCCTCACGCCTTGCTCAGCCTCTTTCTTAGAGTCCCCTTGACCATCTGCCCAAGGATGGCACGCCCATCATGAGCTGAGCCTTCCCACACCAATCATCAATCAAGAAAATGCCCCAAGGCCCTACTCTCAGGCCACACTGGTGGGGACACTTGTCAGCCAAGGTTTCCTCTTCCACACCAGATTGTGTTACACTGACAGAAAACTAACCAGTACCTCTGTTCTACCCTCCTGTCAGCCTGCACTACACTGTCTCTGAGCTCCCCCCCCCCCCCAAAGCCTCAACTACAGTCTATGGTCAGGGAACTCCTGAGGTCTTTAGCAAGGATTCACCCTCAGGGCCCCACTTCCTCCAATCCCCACTGGAGGAAGCAGAGAGCAGTGGGCTGGCTGTGGGAAGGATAAAGAGGTGAGGGGCTGGGGGAAAACTAAGCTGGGGGGGCAGAGAGCAAATCGGAGAGAGGAAGGAAGACAGGGAGGGAGCAGGTAGGCGAATATATACACAGGGCTGCATGAGTCCTGGGCCGGCTCAAAATAAGCGGGGCTGCTATATGGGTGGAGTGGTTAACAAGTGGAGAGAAAGCTGGGTGGGTGGAGAGATAGCTAGGTGAGTGGGTGGAGGGACAGCTAGGTGGATGGGTGGAGGAACAGCTAGGTGGCTGGGTGGAGGGACAGCTAGGTAGGTGGGTGGAGGGACAGCTAGGTGGCTGGGTGGCTGGGTGGAGGGACAGCTAGGTGGCTGGGTGGAGAGACAGACAGCTAGGTGGGTGGGTGCGTTGAGGGATGAGCAGATGAACAGTTGATGAATGGTTGTCTGGATGGTAGATGGATAGATGGCTGAGTTCTCATGAGTCAGGGGGTCAATAAATGGATAAATGGCCAGGCATGGTGGCTCGCACCTATGATCCCAGCATGCAGAAGGCTGTGAGTTGGAAGGCGGCCAGGGATACATAGTGAGTTCTAGACCGACCTGGTTACAGTGTGAGATTGACTGAAAGCGCACACAAGCATGCATAATGTGCACACATAGACAGACAATTTTCTGGCGAATGGGTAAATGGGTAGGCGCATGGACACACTTCCTGTATGTCTTCCTGTCCGTCTATTATCCAATTTTTGGACATTGCAACACCATGTTTTTACTGATCAAGCTCAGACTGGAGAACCTTAAGATCGAGTTACCAAAAATATGACCAGAAAAAAAAAATCTCCTAACATCTTAAACTGTTTTACCGTTTTGTGTTGGACCTCATCCATGGTTTATTCTCGGCCACATGCAGCCAGCCACAGGCTGAGGACTGAGCATGCCCAGAGGATGTACAGAAGACACATTGACAGACGGATGATTTAAATTACCAGCTTGGCCCAAAGTGCCCAAGAATATAAAGTCGAGATCATAGGAGGATCCACTGTGTACGTCTCAAGAGTCTGATTGGGAACTGACAATAATGAAGTTAGCTGGACCACAACCATGTCTGTCCCCACAACCAGAGGTTCAGCGGCCAAGGACCTGCCGTCCCTGAACCTCCCTTTGCTCCTCCCCGCAGGTAGGCTGCAAGGCAGCCGTGGTTTTCTTCCAGTACTGCATCATGGCCAACTTCTTCTGGCTGCTGGTAGAGGGTCTCTACCTGCACACGCTGCTGGCCGTCTCCTTCTTCTCCGAGCGGAAGTACTTCTGGGGGTACATACTCATCGGCTGGGGTACGGTACCAGGGAGGGGGCAAGGCTGGGAAAGCTCACTGGGAGGTGGGAGGGTGCAACCCTAGCCTGCTTATGACAGTGACGAATGTCCCCAGAATGTGTGACCTTGAGGCATCCCGCATCCCAGTCTCCCACAGCTATGTAATGGCACAGGGCCTGAACAAAAACATCCATTTCCCCATTCTGATCCTGACACACAGGACCACTGCAAATATAGAAGGGTTTAAAATCAGAAAAGAAAAGAATAAAACTGCCTAGGTGGTCACAGACCCTCGAGCTACCACTCTTGGAGGGTTTTCACCCAGCAAGCAACCTGTGTGACCGTGGGTAGCAGCCCTAAGCATCCACCCTCTTTTCTCCCTCCTTCTCTCTGGTTCCTTCTCCAAACACTCTCCCTGTGTTCTCCGCCCGCATTTCCTTCTCTTCTATTCTTCTTTGGCCCTCACAGGGGTGCCCAGTGTATTCACCATGGTATGGACCATTGTCAGGATCCATTTTGAGGATTTTGGGTGAGCTGTTGTCCCATCCCCTCCCTCTGGCCACTGTCATTTGGGGACAGAGTCCCTGGGAACAGTGATACTGCCCAGGCTTGGCAGGTAGAAAGACCACAGAACCGAGCCCAAAGCAAGAGGCTGGAGGGAGATGTGGGGAGTATGACACTCTGGGCATGGGGACAGAGCCACAGGCACCTGGGGGATGGCTGATTCTCAGGCGGAGAACTTCTCTCCCCCAAACCTCTGTGGTCTGTTCAGGTGCTGGGACACCATCAACTCCTCACTGTGGTGGATCATAAAGGCCCCAATCCTCACCTCCATCTTGGTAAGCCCTCCTCTCCCCACTGAGCCCAGAGTAGACAACCAAACACAGAACACATAGGAAATAGGTCAGAAGGGAACCATGACCCTCCCATGCCTTCAGTGCTCCCTCCAGAGCAGGTAAATTGGAGGGCGGGTCCTCAGGAGAGTCCCCAGACGAAAGTCCTCCTCCAAAGAAAGGGGCTGCTAAGAAGTACTATAGAGGGGTATCCAAGCACTGGGGGAGACAGCCCAGCATCCTCTAAGTGGCCAACACTGGTGGTCCCTCGTTCAACAGGTGAACTTCATCCTGTTTATCTGCATCATCCGAATCCTGGTTCAGAAACTACGGCCACCCGACATCGGGAAGAATGACAGCAGCCCCTACTCGTAAGTGTGGGCCCGGCACCCCAGCTCCAGACTTCCATCCTGGACCCTCAGATCGTCCCCTACACCTCACCCCACTCCTCTAGAACGATCCAAAGCCAGACATTGCTCTTATCCATGGCCAGGCTCAGCAGCCACTGCCTGTCGTCGGGCCGCCCCGCCTCTGAACCCCACATCCACTAGTCTCATACTCACCCAGTGTCCTTGACGCTCACACCTGCTGCTCCCCAGGGAAAAGGAGAGGAATGAAAGCTCTGCACCTCTTCACACACTGTGCCCAGTCCCTGACCTGTACCTGGTAGAGAAAGGGGATGCAATAGATACCTATAGGGCGGTGATGCTCCCAAGAGCGCCCACCATGAGGGCACCACGTTCAGTGCTCCTCAGTGATAACCATCGTACTTATAGATTTCATGCCAGGCACCAGCCAAGAGGTCTCCATGCATCAGCCCATGTCACACTCAGAGTCCCCTATAAAACGTTCCCCACTTTGAACAAAAGGCAGATGCACACTTCCTCACCCGCCGAGGTCTGGGGTCTACCACTATGCACAGGAAGAGAAGTAGTGTTCACTTTTCCTTGTGGCTGCAACAAAGGACCTGACCAGCAATTTCTGGAAGGAAAGGTCTGTCTGTTTTTGCTCCTAGTTCAAGGGTGCAGTCCATCATGGAAGAGACATGGCTGCCGAGTATAAGGCAGCTTGTCACATGGCATCCACAGTCTTGAACGCTGGTGCTCAGCTCACTTTCTCCTTATTCCGTCTGGGGCCCCATCCCATGGGATGGTGCCACCAGTAGTCAGGGCAGGTCTCCCCTCCTCAACCCTATCTAGAAATCCCCTCTCAGACACGCTCAGGGGATTGCTCCTTCTGTGATGCTGAATCCTGTCAAGTTGACAGTTGGTGTTAACGGTCACAGAGGGCCACAGTGTCCGTGGAACAGTGATTGAGCTCATTCCTTAGAAAGAGGGCCATTCCCTATGCTGGGCACTAGGAAGACTGGCAAGTTCCTATGGGAATTGGAACTTATGGGCAAGGGAAAGAAACACAAAATATGACCAGGGCACCATAGGACCTTCACATTCACCGTGGCCGTGGAGAACAGAGGCCCACCATGCAACCCAGATCAGCCTGGCAGTCCCACAAGGGCCCTCCAGGCCCGGGATCCTAGGTGTCCTTAAACTGGCCTCTGTTAGGGGAATCTCAGTGGTGGTTGGAAGACTGTCTGCTGGAGAATCACGAGCTGCTGGATTTGGGATTCTATTCTGGAATCCTATGGCTGTCAGGCCTGAGCCGAGGCTTTCTCCCATTCCCGATGTGACAGCATTCTGTACCCAGCAGACTGTGTGGGCAGAACAGCGCTCTCCTTTCCAGAAGGAAACTTGTGAGTCTTACCCACTGCCGTCCTACACACACTGGTGTCCTTTACCCAAGCAGCCTCATTTCCCAAGAGTCCAGCTGCAATGGGCTAGAATATGGAGGGCAGGACCCGAACTGGCCGCGGCCAGGTCTGTGTGGGTGAGACAGAAAGGAACAGCTGTCACTGGCAGAAGGGGGAGCAGGAGCTGGCAATTCTTGAGGAGGGGCTGTCAGTTCCCTCTTCAATTTAAAGAAAGCCTCCATCTGTCAGCCTCTGAGTGTGGGATGGGTTCATGGCCAAAGAGGTATGGCTGGGAGCCAGGCCCAAGAAGGAGGGGAAGGACGAGGGTGCATCTGCATAGAGCTTGGGGTGAGAATCTCAGCACTAAGGCAGGAGAGGCACGGTGGGGGCACATGTGTCCCCATCGCACCCACATCTCCCTGGACCTAGTCTCTGCCAGGAATTAGGAAACCATAGCCCTCACTTCTTGGACCAGCTATCAGGTCAGCTGAGTGTACACATGGAGGGACAGCTGAGTGCCTGGAGAGAGTGCTGACTCTGCTGGCACCAAGGTGGCAGAAAGACAAGCTGATCCTGTGGAGCAGGACTCTGGAGGAGGGGGTGCAGGCTCAGGGACAGTGGCAACTGCTAGAGATAGGGCCACAGCGGAAGAGAGGGGGCCACAAGTCTGTGTTCATCACCCTCCTGCACTGTGGGCGCATGTGGTCAGCCTTTCTGCAGGGGAGACTTCATTCCTCGGCGTTCTCGTCCTCCAAAGGAGCTAGTGTCCATGGATATACCCAAAGTCCTTCGAGGAGACAGCATCTCTGATATGGCTGTGTTGAGCATGCATTACCCCACTCTTCAGGCAGGGGAGACTGACCAGGAGGAGGGAGACTGGGAAGTCTCGCCTCTTACTGTTCTATCCTCAGTGGTCTTCCTCCAGAAGACAGGAACAGAGGGAGTTTAATTCTCTCATGTGTTCCCCCAGGCAAGGAGGTAGGGGACAAAAGAGCAGGAACATTGACAGACAGAGGCCAGGAATGATGTGGGTATGACATGGGGATGGGGGAGCCACTGTTCATCCTCACACAATCTGGTCATCTGGTATACCCATCTACACGTGTAAATGCACACACCCACAGCCTGCCTCTCCCTGTCTACAGGAGGCTGGCCAAGTCCACGCTTCTGCTGATTCCCCTGTTTGGAGTTCACTATGTCATGTTCGCCTTCTTCCCTGACAACTTTAAGGCCGAGGTGAAAATGGTCTTCGAACTTGTCGTGGGGTCTTTCCAGGTACGGATTCCAGTCTTTTCCTTGTCATAAGTGCCTGCTCCCTATTCATTGTCTTCCTTAACCAGGGGAATAAGGGGCTGTGGGGAGCCGGGGATGGGTTGGGTGGGGCTGGGAGAGCCTGGGGTCTCTTTGCCTCACCTCTCTTGTCCCCATCTTCCTCAGGGTTTTGTGGTGGCGGTCCTCTATTGTTTCCTCAATGGCGAGGTAAGTGCCTCCCAGATCTTGGTGGCCCTGGACCAGAACTCCCAGGCTCTCCCAGGCCTGCTGGGATCATTGAGAGCAAGGGCAGTTTAAAGCTTGCCTCTCTCCAGAGTGGTTCTCTTGAGCCCCTGGTGCCCTAGTTGCCTAGAATCTCACTTTAAAATACAGCGGAGGACACAGTCTGCACTAACAACCCTGGGTGGGGTTAGGAGCCAGGCTTCTGCATGTATCAGAGGTGGAGACTATCTCCAGCTTAGCGGGTGTGGGCTGAGATAGGGGTGAGACAATGAGGAAAGGTGTAGCTGCAGCCACAAAAATGTGCTCAAGTGGGTGCCTGGATGAAGATTTGGGGTACATTCTCCAGGCAGTACCCCTCGGCTTCCTTGCACTGCGTCTTGTACCCTTCTTCATCCCACCCTCCCTCCCTCCAACTCTCCTGAGTTGACTCACTGACTCCCAAACCCTGTCCCAGCTTTGCTCCCCTCCCAAGATAACATCGACACCTCTCAATTTAAGCTAGGGATTTATCTATGGTTAGCTTATCAAGGCTGTGCTGGAACTCCGCAGTATGGTGCCTAACCACCACCCTTTCCGCCTTAGGTGCAGGCGGAGCTGCGGCGGAAGTGGCGGCGTTGGCATCTTCAGGGCGTCCTGGGCTGGAGCTCCAAATCTCAGCACCCGTGGGGAGGCAGCAACGGCGCCACGTGCAGCACACAGGTGTCCATGCTGACCCGTGTCAGCCCCAGCGCGCGCCGCTCCTCCAGCTTCCAAGCCGAGGTCTCCCTAGTCTGACCGCCAGAGGCCGCCAGGCCCCTTTGCACCCTCCCCTCGCCGGGCCCTGGAGAGGTCTGCAGCGGCGTCGCCACTAGCTCCAACCTTGGGTCTGGAAGTTTTCCTTTGCTGCAACGGGCACCAAATCCATTCAAGTTGGAGATCAAAGAGGTCCAACACTGGAGGAAGCAGAGAGGGACCAGCATCAGACTCCGCCTCCAAAGGTCCCTCTGCCAATCATGCCGGCAAAATCTGCATATGCCTCCTGGAAAGCAGCCGCCTGTCCTTAAAGCTTCGGAACTTTTGAGGGCAAAAAGGTTCTGCCCTGTTCGTGCCTAGAATTTCACTGTGGCCCTCAAGTCGCTTTGGGTTAAGTGTTGCCAATGAGACTCCTCTCCGAGGATGCAATGCAGTCCCCTCCCCGAGTGTCCTGCTTTTATCTGCCAGCTCCTCTGGGTGGGTGAGTTCCTCTACCTCAGACAGATATGGTTGTGACCTGGAGTTTCGGTTTGAGGACCACAGCTGTGCTGTGACCCTCGCTCAGGATGGAACTGTCCCAGCGTCGGTATACTATCGGACCTGGGAACTCAGGGACCAACCTTTGGGAAGGGAGAAGATAGCCCCTGCCAATGCTCACCAAGTGGCTTTGTCCATCAGATAGGATCTGTCACACCAGCCTTATGCACAACCAAAGCAATAGCAAGCTGCCCACTCTGGGTGCTCTCCTACCAACTATACCAACTCCTTCAGCAAGGGCCAGAGACGTGAGCCCACAGGCCCCTGATGCAGCAGGTAGGGAAACAATCTTAGAGAGAGCAGGTATCTCTTCCTGTCACTAATGCCAACATAAAGACTACCTTTTTACATATTGTGACCTGCTGGATTCTGTTGGGGTTATATTACCAGCGATGTTACTACCCTCATCCCCTTGTTCCTTTGCCTCCTTAGAGAGTGGTTCAGTGTGGCACTAACGTCAGGGGTCAGGACATCTTATGTTCCCTCCACCCTTATAGTCACATAGCTTCTAACCCAAGCTGGTGTCAGCAGGTCCCCTCAGAACTGCACCAGGCTCGTATGGCAATAAATATTAGCTCTAGCAGGCTTAGTTCCCCTGGCCACTGTGGGTCTCCTGCTTCCTCTCAGCAAGTGTGTTATCCCTGCTCCAGTGAGAGGTGTTCACTGAAGCTACCGCCCTTCTGACTTTGGACAGGAGCCCCCATTTCCGTGTGAGTATCTATCCCCAGAGTCTTTGACTCACACCTGAGTGTGAAGAGGTTATAACTGGCCCCACTGTAACCCTCACCCCCTAAATCCAGCTGGAAGGGACAGATTCTGCCTTGAACCAAATCAAAACAGCCAATAGAACAACCAGGAACAGCAAGGTTTCATGGGCATTCCTGGAAACACGGCAAACAGAGAACACGAGGACTGGGTCGCTGTTGCCAAGGAACCAACCAAGAGGGTTAGATCAGTGCAGATGGCCCAGCCCAAGTCAGTAAGGAGAGGCTGTGTGACTAACGGTAAGGTTTAGACACAGTAGTGTGGCAAAGCAGGTGTCATCGGCAGGGCAGCGAGATGCAGCTTCCAAGGGTCTGGTTCCACTTTGTAGGCATGTGGGGTGCAAAGAGGCCAGGGTGGCTAACAGAGGCTCGAGTCTGCCTACAAGGCCCCTTCAAAGGCTGCTGCCTCTTGGTACCATCCCAGCACAGATAGAAGTATCTTCTGGAGTATGTGAAGGTCAGAACAGACCCCATGCCTAAATGAATAGGCCCGAAATCTCCCAACAGTACCGTGTTGTGGCGTGGGGTAAGTCGTGGAGCCCTGGGTGCGGAGCAGTTCCTAGTCAAGAGGGCAGAGTGAGTAGAAGCAAGACCCAAGATGTGTTCGTGAAAGGAAGGGGAGAGTCGGGGATAAAAAGACTGGAATCCTTGATTGGGGGTGGGGGGCTAAGGAAACTTGGGCCAGTATCCTAGGTTAGTGACAGCCATGGGGTAGGAGTGTCTGCAGGCAGAACTATCCCAGTCTCTTCCCCAGGTGGCTCGGTCCCTGCTACACACCTGTCAAACCAGACCAACTCATCTCTAGTGCCATCTGGTGGACACTTCGAAGACTTCACCTACTTTGACCACCTTATTAGATCTTTCACCACCAAGAGTGAGACAGAAGGTGTGGTGAGGATTGTACCCAGGCCAGCCCCCACACCTCCCTCACATCAAACTACTGGCCTCATGTTAGTCCTGCCTTGACCCAAAAGAACTTAATGGAACCCAGACTCTGGTGGTTCCTTAAAATTGAACCCTACCTACAGTCTCTAAGAAGGGCAAAGGCCAGTTATTTCAGTACCATCTGAACCCAGGGAGGCTCTGTCCACTCTGTAGGAAAGACCTATTTGCAGGTAGTCTTCTCATTCTGGGGCACGGCCTGTCCATGGAGGCTCATCCACCTGCTAGCAGAACATCACTGAGGTGTTTGGGGCCTAGGAGAGGTCTCAGGATTCCAAGAGAGCATGCTTAGGTGTCACAGAGATGTGAATCCAGCCGAGTAGGTGTTGGGGTGCTTACCAGTAAAGACAAAGAGAGACAAAGAGAAGGCCTATCAGGTTGAGAGATGGTTGGGGGTTGATGCCGAGAAGGACCCAGGGTGTATGTCTGGAAAGGATGCTAGGCCATCAGTAGGAAAGGGAGGAGGTCAGCTGGGGAGACAATGCCCTGGTTTGGGACATGTTGAATGTAATATGTGCAGGATGTATGAGGAGAGACCCTCTAAGGCTACTGGAAATATGACATAAAGGGACAGAAGATGGGAGAACCAAGGCAGCCCTTTGGAAGAAACAGTGAATATAAGGGCAAGACCCCAGGCACCCCATGGGGCGTGCTGGGCACAGTGGGGTGAGGACTCTGACTCAGCCCCTCCATCCTAGCTGCCACACAAGGTCTTGTTTTAATGAGCAGTGGCGAGCTCCCCCCCCCCCCACAATGTGGGAACAGGAACAGCTCATATCTCTGGGGGAAGGGGAAGGGGTGGGGACACAGCTGGCAGTTACTAAACACCCTGCTCCAGCCAGGGATGGCCAAGATATTAATAGCCCCGGGAGTCTATGACTCTGAAGACACAGACTCCCAGGAAAAGGGACAAAGTAACCTCAGCAGGCCAGAGGGATGCGTCAGGAGGCCATCTTAGTAATGCCCCAGCCTCCACAAAAGACAGATGGGATAACCAAAATCCAGAGAAGGGAAGTCATTGTAGAGGTTGATGTTGAACACAGCTCTCCAAATCCCATAGCTGTGCCTCAGATTTTCTAGATATTGTCAAAGATGGGATCACTTGGCTGTGCCCTATCTGGGAACGCGAGAAGGGTCAGGCCAGTTAGTAATCCTGATTCTGTCTTGATATATTGTTCATCCTGTATTTTTGCATTAACTTTGATATTTTAAAATACTGTATTAAAATATTATTTACCTTGATCCCCGGACTGCTGTTTTGTTTGCCTGTTTCGATCCCACACTCTCAGCAACTGCCTCTTTGGGTCACCCCAGTCCTCGTCTCAACCCCAGGAGTCCCAGCACCCCTGAGTTCCAGGATGCCACCATGGGAGAAACATTGAGGGGCTCCAGGCTGTCCTGTGTGGTTTCCACAGGGGACGTTGCCAGGCTGACCCAGCAGCTCTCATCAGGATAGACCCCGGTGTTCATACTGATCTCTTCAGTTACTGTCTGTAGACTGTAAGATGCCTGTCAGTGTCCTAAGGGCTCTGTTCTCAGAAGCCCATCCACGGGAATGAAGGATATGCCTTATCAGGAAATATAATCCATCTAGGACTTACCTTCTGCAGATCACAAGGATGAGGAGGAGAGGTCATGAAGCCATCTTGTCAATGCCCCAGCCTCCACACAGGACAGGAGGGAGAGTGAATATCAAGAGAAGGGATTCAACTTGACACAAACTAGAGACACCTGGGAGGAGAGAGAACCTGAGTTGAGGAATGGCCTCCATCAGACTGAACTACAGGCATGTGTCTGTGGGGTGTTTCCTTGGTTGTTAACTGATGGAGGAGGGTCTAGCCCAGTGTGGGCAGTGCCACCCCTGGGCAGGTGGGCCTGAGTTATATACAGAAGGTCGCTGAGCAGACACAGGGAACAAGCCGGTAAGCATCGTTCCTCCGTGGTCTCTGTTTCAGTTCCTGCCTCCAAGTTCCTGCTTGAGTTCCTGCCTTGGCTTCCCTTCCCTTCTCTCAAATCCTCTTCTAGTCGATATGTAGCTTCATTTGCCCCTGAAGGCTGCCTAGGAGTCGGGGGAGGGGCTCCTGTTTCAGTAGCGAGTGGGGGCCACATTTCTTTTTTATCAGTTTTCGTTCCTCCCCCAAGATGTTCCAGCAATGAGACATGGCCTCCTGTGTCAGAGTTCCCTTCCCTGCCCGGCAGTTCTGCAGTGTCTCCTCCCCACCTCCTCTGGAAATGGAAGACTTTTCCCCACCTTTTCCAGGGACAGAAAAGATCAGTGGCTCCCAGGAGTGGAATCCCCGCTCTTTGTTGCTTTCATGCTGCTACTCACTTAGGAGGGTTTCTTGTCAACTGTGTTTCTCATTGCTGTGCCAAAATAGCAAAAGCAACTTAAGGGAGAGGTTGTTTGTCTGCTGGCATTAGGGGATACAGTTTGTCACGGCAGGGAGGTCCTGGAAGGAAGCGTGCAGTGCTGTCAGACACAAAGCTGGTGTCCACAGTCAGGAAACAGAGACGATTGCTGGTGTTCAACTTGCTTTCTCCTTTTTTACCCAGCCTGAGACCCCAGCCCCTGGGATGGAGACACCCACATTCGGGGTGGACTCCCCTATCTCAGTCAAACCTTTCTGGAAATGTTCTCACAGACATACCCAAAGGCCCATCTTCTACGTAATTCCATATACTCTCATCGCCATGAAGAATTAACTGTTACATTTGCACACCACTTGCCCTGTGCAAATCTAAGATACTGAGGATGGGGCGAGGCTAAGACTATCCCAGAATTGATACTTGTGGAAATAACTGAGAATGGTCACAGGTAGTGGGGCAGAGTCAGGTCTCTGTGGCCAGGTAGGGTACTCCCAAGGCCTCCCCTAGGCACTGACGGCAAGATAGGGCCAGGCTATTTATAATAAACCATGTGTTTCATGGTCACATAAATCAGAACTGGGGGCCCAAAAACCTCAAGGTCAAGTCAAATCAGACTTTCCAGTCCCCTTCTTCAATAGAAGCATCCTGAACAGTGTCTGGAGAAAGAGGGCTGGGGTAAGGTGGGGGTCTCAGAGTGATCTCCTCACAGGCACTCAGATACAGCTCCTGGGAAAAGGACAAGCTTTTTCTGAGAACTTCCTTTGTAGCGACCGAGGGCCACAGGCTCCGCTAATGTATGTCCACCAAGAGGTCCCCTACCCCAAGTTCAACATCCTCTGTGCCAAGTGGCAGAGAGCGGGCAGCTCTCGAGAAGACTAATATTTACTCTTCAAACAGGAGCTAGCATGGCTGTTTCCTGTGGCTGGCGTCTGGTTCGCCCCAGGATGGACACAACAGGAGGTGCTCTGGGAGACAAGCAGATGTCCCCTCGGATAACAGCAATGAGATAAGACAACGCCTGGGAGATGGGAACAGCCTGTGCTGAGGTCCCCTTGCACCCGGCCCCTTGGCTCGCACACCTCCAGGACAGTGAGCTCCCAGCCTTGGTGAGGCCTGCTGGACAGTCCCGTGAGAAAGTTCACTCTGACTGGCCCCACGTTCCTTGCCTCTGGCCCTTGTGCTGATCCCTGGGGCCTTGGAAAAGCGCCTGGAACAAGCCCCCAGGGCCATGGTGGTCCTGGTCCGCTTCACCAAACCCCCACCAGCCTGGCTTCACTTCCCCAGGCGCACACTCTGGGCTCAGGCTATTTCTGGGGTAGGAGGGAAGGCTGGCTTTGGGGCACCTCTGTCCCCCTGCAGCTGTCCCTTGTCCTCATGAGAGCCTTTCAGCAGAGGCCTGCTGTGGGAAAGCCTCAGTCGGGCGGCCTGGATCTGGGGAGGACAGCCCCTGGGGGGTCAGACTAATGCCCACTGCTTCTCCCTTGGAGAACTCATCTTTTCTGCCCCCACGTTTCCCATCCCTCATGGCCCCAGAAACACACCCTTGCTACTTCAGGCCCTAGCCTCTGCTTTGGCTCCCCCCTGGTTCCAGAAGCAACTATAGACACTTTCATTGTTTTGACACAGGGTCTCAAGTGACCGTGACTGGCCCTGAACCCCCTCTATACCAAGGATGACCTTGAACTTCTGACCCTCCTGCCTCTTCTTCCTGGATGCTGGGACTGCAGTCTTCCCTGGTTTATGTGGTGCTGGGGACTGAACCCAGGGCTTCACAAATACTAGTCACTCTCTCTATCGACTCAGCCACACCCCAGCCCTACCCTGTTTTGCAAAGTTCATGGCATCAGGTGGTGTCTTCCTGTCGTTTTAGTCCGTGCCCATGGTCCTAACGGTCATCTCCTCTATTGATTACTCACGAACATTGCCAACTTTGTCTTCGTTTTTTACAATTGGGATCGCCATTTCTTGCCGATCCATACAAGCTGCTCCTATGCTACCCTTACCACTTCCAGCTCTGCGGCCACACCCTCCCGTCTTTTCCACTGTTCCCGGAATCTCCTATCATCAAACTCGTCAATCTTTTTAAAATTTTTTACTTATCTATTTTTTATATCTGTGGGGGTTTTCTAAGCATTTATGTCTGTGCCCCACATGTGTGCCTGGAGCCTGCAGAGGCCAGGAGGCATCAAATCCCCTGGAACTGGAGTTACAGGCAGCTATAAGCTGCCATGTGAATGCAGGTCCTCTGGAAGAGCAGTCAGTGCCCCAAACTGCTGAGCCGTCTCTCCACCCCCAAGCTTACCAATCTGTTTGTTTACGGGATGTGCCTATGACTTTAAGTATCATCCCCATCAGATCAGAGGGTCTTCTTTTTGGCACTGAGCACACTCCACAGACTTTGCCTCGTCCATCCATTTGACTCTCTGTCTGAGGCCTGGTTCACAGAGTCTCTGCCAGGTCCTTCTCCTTAGTCTACCATCCTCTGGTGCTGAGAAATCATGCCTGGCCTGGTGCTCTGCAATCAAGCATGCCTGGCCTGGTGCTCTGCAAGCATGCCTGGCCCTGTGCTCTGCAGGCATGCCTGGCCCGGTGCTCTGCAAGCATGCCTGGCCCGGTGCTCT